AACTGATTTTACCTGATTTTGCCTACCTAGAGACTGCTTGACTAAACTCTAGTCAGGCTCAGGAAAGCATTTTAAATAGACAAGGCCTCAGTTTTTAGTTCCCTCCAGAGACAAGGTCAATCTCCATTCTGTATATTAGCCTGAACACGTCCTCCTGTTTCAGGAGCGTGCTAAATCAGCTCATGCTGCCTTAGAATATCCTTTCACTCCTAGCAACAGCGGGAACTAGATAAAGAATAGACAGGACCCAAGGCCAAATGCCAGATGTTTTCCTTTACCCTAGCCTAAGAACAAAGACCACCAGTACTGACCAATTAAACTGTAACATCTCATACTTTGCCAATTGTTAACCCATCAGAAATTGTATCTATGGTACTGCACAATTATGCCCCTAAAACCTTATAAAAACTGGCTTGTACTGTAAAGGGGGGTCGCCTTTGTCTCCTGCTTTTGTGAGTGGAGGTGGACCCCAGCACGTTGGCAAATAAACCTCTTGCTGTTGCATCGAACTTGAGTCCTGGTAATCTTTTTGGGGTCTCCTACTGGATAGGGCCATCTGGGGCCTAACAGTTTCAAACTGCTGACCTTGCGGTTTGCAGTCCGATTTGTAACCACTGTATAGCATAGTTAATATACCTTATTCAGAATTTAAAGAAAGGCAATAATAAGTTTCTTAATCTTTTGTCATCCTTAAGATTGTACTATTTGTTGATGATCTGAATATGCCAGTATCAGAAATATATGGAGCACAACCACCACTGGAATTGATCAGACAATTATTAGATTTGGGAGGAATTTATGATACTGAAAAAATTGCATGGAAGGTACAGTATATACATTGTTAATTTAAATACTATTATTTAATAAGTTAAGTATATGTGTTGGGAATTAAGTAAGAAATTTAGGATGCCTAGCCATATGGACATGATAAGCAAAGTTGAAATCCTACAATAACCATGGCAATTTAGTACTAGTCATTAGGTTCATAGGAATCATATCATAGTAAAAATTGTAATTATGTCCTAAAGGTTTTGTTTCTGAAGCAAATAATGCTCACTAATGTTAAGTGCGTTAATAGCTCATCATATTTTTCAGTTAGCATATATGAAAAATATTTGTAAATATGAACTAGCAATATACATCCTTAATCTCTATATGAGACTATTCTGCCTTTTTGTTTTCAAGAACACAGATCAAGGATTCCAGTTCATACTTGCTTGGATTCAGTCTAAACAAAACGTGATTAAACATGTCTGAAATCAGTGGCTGGCTGCAGACAAGTTCTCTCAGTAACACACTTGCCTTAGTCTCATTAGGGCCCCTTCAAGAAAAGGTCTAATCAAGACAGTGGTTTCTAAAGGAATCTGCTGGGCCATTAAATGCAAGGAAGGGAGATCAACTTTGAGGAAGGGGGTGAATTCCAAAAACATAATCTGAATAGATTTTCCTGAAGGACACAGGATGATCATGGGGACTTATTATGAAGAAATTTCAAGAAAACTGAAAAGTGCATTGTTGAGAAAAAAGGACAGAAAAGTTGTTGTGGGAGTTTTGTTTTGTTTTCCATGATGACATTGCATCTGCTCACTCTTTAAGGATAGCAAGGACTCTCCTAAGAGATTTCAGTAGGAAACCTTGCCCCAGTCACCCTAAAGGTCTGTGTTGGCCCTTCAGACTTCCTTTTATTTCCAAAATTCAAAGAACATATAAGGGAACATGATATAAGTCCCTCAAAGATACCAAAACTGCCATTTTAACATGTTGTAAATATTGTTTGGGGAAGGGTTAGAGGGATGGAAACAGCATCTTCAGAAACGTATAGATCTAGATGGAGGAGATGTCAAGAAACAACAGTTTTGTATTTCGATATTATGTTGTTTGAATAGAGATTTCTAAGCAATTTTCTTTAACTTAACCTTTGTACAGGCATTTCCCTGGTTACAAATAAGTTACATACCTGTCTTTAAATTAAATCTGTACATAAATCAGAGCAATTTGATACTATGTGTATCTACATCAGTTAGTCAAATGTTTGTCTTACTATATCGTATATAGTGTACTTTTCTACATATGTTGTTGTTACTAAGTTACATCTAGTCGGTTCCACTCATAGCAACACTGTATAGGGTTTCCAAGGCTTTAAATCTTCCCAGGAGCAAAAAGATTCATCCTTCTCCCACAGAGCATCTGGCGGGCTCTAACCATGGACCTTGTTGTTCATAGTCCAGTGCTTATCATATGGAGCCACTGCGCTCCCACTGTACATACAAAGAGTATTAAAGAATCACTTCCAGATTCACTGAAACATCTTTAATATACTAATACAGTCATAATAATAATGTTTTGAATCGCATCATTGTGTCCATGACCAACCATTGTAGGTACCCTGAATTCTTACTGGGATTGGTTTGTAACTACAGGTTATTTGTAACTCAGATGTCTGTAATCCAGAACTGCCTGTATTACAAAGCCAAAAAAAAAAAAAAAATTTTCCAAGTAAGTATTGCTGTGCAATTATTTTTGTGATATTGAACCAAGTAAGAATGGCTTCATTTTTTATAAACATATTTGAATGTTCTTTTTTCTTCAAATGCCTGTCTAAGATGAATTTAATGGATGTATTTTGAAATCAAATTACATGTTGAAATTCAGTATTTCTTTATTCACACCTGTTTGGTTTCTTCTCTGGAAATCATACTCCCTCTGATTCTGAACTGACTGTACTAGTTAAACTTCCTGTTCTCAGTTTCCTTATCTGTAAAATTAGATGGTTGAATTACAAACAGTCTCATGTCTCAGACCGACTTGTGCCCAGGATCCTAGCTGAGGTACACAGTCTGGTGAGCGGCATCATCTCACACATCAGGCATCAGCCCAAGTCAGAGAGGAAGAATTCAGATGTAAACCACTAGGAAAGAATACAGGAGGCTAAAATAAGAGAGAATGCTGGATATTGGTAGGGGGTGTATAGCCTGGAGACAGTCACTGAATTGATGAGAAGCCGGCCTTTTATGGGATTTCTGTGGCCTTAGATACAAGTATGTTGTTGTTGTTAGAGGTCACTGAGTCAGTTCTAACCCGTTCTGACTCGAAATACTGCCTGATCCTGCACCATCCTCACAATCATTCCTGTTTGCTACATCATTGTACGTACTGTGTCAACCCACCTCATCAAGGAGCTTCCTCTTTTTCACTGACCCTTTACTTTTCCAATCACGATGTTCTTTTCCAAAGATGGGTCACTCCTAATAACATGTCCAAACTATGCAAGGTGAAATCTCACTATTCATGTGTCTAAGGAACATTCTGACTGTACTTCTTCCAACACAGATTTGTTCATGCTTCTGTTGGTGATGGTGGTGGTGTACCATGGAGTCGGTTCTGACTCATAGCAAGCCTGTATAGGGTTTCTAAGGCTGTAAATCTTTACGGGAGCAAAAAGCCTCATCTTTCTCTCACAGAGTGTCTGGTAGACACAAACTGCTGATCTTGTGGTTGATTAGCAGCCCAATACATAATCCACTATGCTACCAGAGCTCCTATTCTTTTGGTAGCCCGTTGTATATTAACTATTCTTCACCAACACTATAATTCAACGGCATCAATTCTTCTTCAGTCCTCTTTATTCAGTGTCCAACTATCACATTGGGTACAGGCATAGGCAAGAACAAAGCTATTTAAAAGCTCTCATTGTGAGCAGATGGGATCATCTGTATGATTCCATCCAGCCCTGTTGTTGTTGTTGTTGTTATGGTTACATGCTGTAGAGTGGGTTCCAACTCAAACTGACCCTATCTATGTAGGGTATCCAAAGAGAAGCTGATGGGTTTGAACTCCCGACCTTGTATTTCACAGTCCAGTGCTGATCCTACAGCTCCATACCTGGAGTCCTTATAGTAAATGATAATCCATTCATATTATATCATTCTTAATCTTAATCCATCCAGCCCTATAATTCTATAATGCTATGACATGTCAAATGGGTGTTGTTAGGTAAACAAGCATCGTCTCACTCCAAGTCAATTCTAACCATTCTGGAAGCACACTCACCAGACTCTTCTTGTAATTTAACATTGCCACCAGAATCCTTATTTCTTGCCTAATAACATATTGTTCATGTTCCAAAGATTGCTTTTTAAATGGTCTATTCCTGATGGCAGTGTGGCGAGTCCTGATGTGGCGCTGTGGGCTAATGTGTCAGAATGCAAAGTTGTTTGAACTGCAAGGTCAGTGGTTGAGCTTCACCAGCTGCTCCTTGGGAGTCCTATACAGGGTTGCTATGGTCAGAATCAACTCAACGGCACTTAATAACAACAACAACAACAATTCCTGATGACATTTAGAAGGCTTCCTTGAGGTAACATGTCTTCTCCCTAGAAGCAACAAGTAACATCAAATTACATGTTATAATGGATTACTTCTTAGAACATAGATTTCTTTATTATCATAATTTGTGTATTATAGTGAGTTGTTGTTGTTAAGTGCCATCCAGTCAGTTCTGACTCATAGCAATCATGCATAAGGTTTCCAAGGAGTAGCTTCAACTGCTGAAGTGTGCTTTGCAGTTCAATGCTTATCCTACAGCGCCACACCAGGACTCCTTGCAGTAAATGATAATCCATTTATATTATATCATTCTTAATCTTCTTGCCTAAATATTTTTTAAATCTTTTGTCAGTTTGGGGTAAGGAAGGTACATATTTCACTTTCTACAGATGCACTTCATTACTCTTGCTTTTTATTCTTCCCACAGAATATTCAAGATCTCGCTCTAGTTGCAGCTTGTGTTCCTCCAGTTGGTGGCAGAGATATTTGCCCACGCCTCCTCAAACATTTTTCCATACTGGTATTGCCTCAACCTCCACAAAGTGCCTTAAGTACTATTTTCCAGGTAATACATCTAGTTCATTTTCTACAGAAAAAATATTTTTGATTTCCATTAAATTAGAAACTATTCAAAGTAAGAATTTTAAACCACTTAATATATATATATTTTTAATTTGATAAGTGCCCTCTAGTTGGTTCTGACTCATAAAGACTCTTTAGAGTTTCTGAGGCTGTAAATCTTTGCATGAGCAGAAAGCTTCATCTTTCTCTGGAGGTGCAACTGGTGGTCTTGAACCACCAATCTGTGTGATTCACAGTCCAGTGTTTATCCTACAGAGCCACCATGCTTCTCATATATAGGATAAAGTTCAGGAATCTACTTTTTTATCAAACACACTCTGATTTTTGCCAGAATTGATATGCTATTTTCATCTCCCTGTGGAAAAAAAAGAAAACACTGAGAGAAGAAATTCAGAAATAACCTATTGGGGAAAAGGCTCAAGTTAAAATCCAGTCTATGAAAAAAATGAAATATTACTAAATTCTTTAAAAATCAATCATATGATTTATCTTCTTTACAATATAACTTTTAAAGATTAATTTTTAAACTGTGTTTTTAAATCACAGTAATTCTAATGCCAATGATCAATAATCCACACCTGAAGAAAGTATGTATATATATATATATATGTACTAATTCAAAGGTAATGGTCTTACAACCTTACACTTCTTCTAGGAACATCTACTAGAATGCAGGGAGGCAGAGACTTTTCCATTTAATGAGACTGCACATAGCTATGGCATTAAATTGTAATCACAGAGCACGTAACACATGCCTCCAAACCATACACCAAACTAAAATTCATTATAATGCTCCCTATTTGCAACATACTTTATGTAGTCTGCTTTCATGTTTAAAATGGATTCTAGTTACTAACCTTTCCACTAAAGTAATCCTCCCTACTAGTATACAAGACTTTAGTAGGGACTCTCCAGAAAAATAGTCTTTTTTTTTTTTTTTCAAACTAAATTATAAATTTTATTTTTAAAGGCTCATTTGGAAATTTATTTTTCCATAAATAACTTCGCATCTGAAGTGCAGAAAAGTAAGGATCAACTAATATCCTGTTCACTAGCTGTATACTATCAAGTACGTCAGAGTATGTTACCAACCCCAACAAAGTGTCACTACATGTTTAATCTTCGAGATATGTTAAAGGTTTGTGTTCAAATTCATTCTCTAATTTACTTTTAAGATTCAAGTTGAAATGTAATTGTACTTACTAAATTCAGAGTGTCTTTCTATTTCTTTCATTACTCCTGGGTGCTGCAAATTAGAGTTAAAAGGGAAATTTGAGCTAGTGACTTTTGCTATTTCTTAGTAACCTATCCCTTAAATCTGTCGAAAGAATTGTAAAAATAATTCCATGCAGCAAATGCAATGATGACACCACTAATGACAGTTAGAATATTGGCCAAGATCCTCAGCAGAAAAAAGAAGTAAGGTCATTAACTAATTTTTGGTTTTGCTTTATTTCTAAGATTTTATTGTGTCTGTCAGAAAATAGAAGTAGGTATGAATTTCATAAGCATGCATGAATTTTCATACCAAAGAATCATGCCAACTGTGCTGATTTAGTCATCTGCCTTAGTCAAATAACTTTCAGAATTGAAATGTTAAGAAAAAAACTTTATGAATTTGTTATCTTTCTCCTTCTGATGTGGGTCTTTGGCTCAAAGCAGCACCTATAGTCTTTGAAAATTGGTGATAATTTAGTTTGAATATAACATAAACATAAAGAGGTGCCTCCATAGCATGCCAGTTATCATAGTTAAGATGCGTGTCTTCCCATCCTAGCAAATTTTTGCTTGGCATGCTAAGCAACTTCTATAAACCTCTCCCTCTAAGGGTGATTCCACGCCAGCTTACCTTGATTTATAACTTTCTCATCTCGTAAATTTAGGCTATCACTTACTGTTGTTGTTAAGAGCCTTTGAGTCAGTTGCAACTCATAGCAACCCTGTACAGGGTTTCCAAGGGATGAATGATGAATTTGAACCACCAACCTGGAGGTTAGCAGTCCAGTGTTTATCCTACAATGCTACACCAAGACTCCATCACTTATTGAAACTGAAGTTTTTACCTTGGGTAATTTCATTCATTTTATGATCATAATCCTGTAAAAAATTATAACTCTACTTCACATGCTACTTTAAAAATTACCCTGCTAATGTTAAAATAATGTTATTTTAAAATTCCTAATAGCTTCTTCTAGGATTGCTGCAAGCTGACAAGGCTGTTATTAACTCTAAAGAGATGGCTGCTCTGCTCTTTGTTCATGAAGCCACTCGAGTGTTTCACGATCGCTTAATTGAACCCACTGAAAAAGGACTTTTCTATCAATTTCTTTCTAAGGAGATTCACAACTGTTTTCAGGTAAACTTATATTTCAAAAGTTACCTTAAGTGAAATTTCGGGTGAAAATATTTTTGTAAAGCCCTTAAACCTTTCTATAGCATTCATGAAAGAAGCTTATTTTACTTATAATCCCATGTTTCTTTTTGAAATGTATAGAAGCATAGATCTGTATGCTATTAATGATAATATCTTGATGACTCTGTTTATGTTTTTGACTCTGAATTGCTCATTTTTCTCCAAGACTAGCAGAACTGTACACTCTCCTGAGATTCCAATAAGATACATCCCTCTCCATCCCATTGAGCTTTAGTTTCCTCAGTGCCTATCTTTTAACTCACATCACACACACAAAAAGAGGGTTTCATTAAACTGATTTACACTAAAATGTTTGTGATTAAATTGGGTAGTGAATTTGGCTCCATTATTAGATTTCTTAACTCCTCTTACAAGAATTAAGGAGAATATTTCTTTTCCAAAGGTGGTTTCTCTTTTCTCTTCCTTGGTAGTACTACCTTCCCACATCTTATTCATAGCAATCCAGGAAATACAAAACAGAGTACAAGATGTATTTTGCAACACTAAAACACAGTTTCAGAATATAAATTTATACATAGAGATAAAAATAGATTTATATATGTGAAAGACCCTGCTCCTGACCAACAAAATGGCACTGTAGCTGCCCCAGCTGGAATTGAATAAAGTCCTGCTTAAGCTTCTGGTCTCCTGAAAGATTAAGTCTTAAACCAAGAGGTTTCAGGAAAACCTCCATAACCCCACCCACTGGAAGTCCACCAGAACTATACCCAGGACCACACTACCTTAAATACGCCAGTCTGTAAGGGATGAGTGGGCTCTTGGTCTCTCTTGACTTTGAGTTCCCCCTCCCAGATTTACTCTCAATAAATCTGGCTGCTGTTGAAGCCACATTTCTCTCCTTGTCTCTTTCTTTCTTATTTCTTACAATATGAATACAAATTCAGAATACAATATAAAAGCATACTAGTCCTGGTGTTAGCTGTAGGATAAGAATTGGACCACAGGGTAGGTGGTTCCACCAGTCACTTTTTGGAAGCTGTAGGATAAGAATTGAACCACAGGGTAGGTGGTTCCACCAGTCACTTTTTGGAAGCTCTATACAGGGTTGCTATGAGATGGAACTGACTCTACGGCACTTAACAACAACAACAACTAGGGTAAGTCAAAAAATAGGGTTTCAGTTGATACAACACAGGTTTATTATTTTAAAAATGTGTTTACACATGCCTCTGTGATGAGTGAGTGGCTGCAGACTTGTTCTCTCAGTAATATTCTTGTCTTCGTCTCATAAGGGTGCTTTCAAAAGAAACAAGTTCCAATCAAAGTAGTGGCTTCTGAGTGGACTTCTGAGCCAGCTAAATTCAATACAGAGAGGTCAACTCAGAAAGTGATGGCAACTGTGTTTTGAGACTCCAAAGGGATAATCTTGCTAGATTTTCTCAGGATGATCATGGAGGCTTATTAGGAAGAAGTTAAAAAAAAATTATTTTTTTTTTTTTTTTTTCTGCCTGGGTGAAATAAGACCAGCAAAGTTGAGCAGAGGCATTTCTTTACATCACTTCAATATACCTGCTCATTCTTGGGTGTAGCAAGGTCTAT